CCCCCCCCCCCCCCCCCCCCCCCCCCAATCCTCTTATGATGCACGTGCTGTATATACGGTACATTAGCAGGTTTGGGGAGTAATGGAATACACGGAATGGCATTTCTATTTAGGATACAAATACAAGGGTAACTATTTTCCCTTAACGTTACAGAGAAAAAGGGTGTAATGTGATTACTGATACATTTAATAAAAATGGAGATTATTAGCAGTATTACAATTTTAACATTATACAATATGCTACCATTCACACGCTCACATGTGACAGCATTTCACGAGTCTTACTACACCTGCCTGGTCTCAAGTGAAACTGTAGCTACTCTTGTATCTCTCTTGTTGAAATCTGTTCCCTCGTCAAGACATTTCCCCTAAACCTGGAGCTAACCTTATCCTAACCTGACTGCCGGGTGAGGCGTTTTAGTGTGACGTGTGAATGGCATACTTAACAAGCACATTTAAATGAAATGTGTATAATTAATGTTACCACCAGTAAACTAAATGCACATTATTCATACATAACAAAGAAAGGAATAGGTGGACAAACAGTTAGAAAGTTACTTTCGGCTTTTCTCGTTCAGGGGTCGCCACAGCAAATCGTCACACTGACGACTCGCATGTTGACATTTGGCACGTGTTTTACGCCGGATGCCCTTCCTGACGTAACCCTGATCCAAACCCGGGCTGCAGCAGTGAGAGCGCTGTGCCTTAACCACTAGCCTGCCAGGGACAGCCAGCAGTTAATGAACCTGATCAGAAACCATCTGATCTATTAAAAAAAATTGGATGTTCTTGGGATGTTCTTAACACATACTAAAACAAAGCACTGTTTTCCTTGAGCTCATTTAATTTGTTTTCATTTTCTTTCATTTGTTAGTTCTTTTTTTGTCGTTGTTTTTTAGTCAGTAGGTGGACTCGTATGTTAAAAATAGTGAGTGCACTTAGTGTATGTATCAAACTAAAACAAAGCATTTCGTGCTTGCCTTGTAAAAGGAGCAGGTTTTATTTTTGCTTTGTAAACTGTACAATGTGGTCTCCAGAGCTGTTCATTTCTGATCAGCAGTCACCGACCACGTTAACCTGTCCGGGTTCTGTCTGTCTGTTTGTTTGTTTTGGTGTATCCTGATGCTTTTCTCTCTCTCTCTCTCTCTCTCTCCTCTATCTACTCACCCCATCTTGTTGAGGCAGAAAGCCATACTCCAACAGCCCGGGTCTGTTGGAGGGTTCTTCTAACAAAGGGAGTTTTCCTCTCTGTTGTTGCCAAGTGCTTGCTCAAGGGGGATTTGATGGGTTTTCCTTATAATAGTGTAACATCCACACCTTACAATGAAAAGTGCCCTGAGATTATTGTTGTTGTGAATTGGCACTATACAAATAAAACTGAACTGAATTAAAGCACAAATAAGCACAGTCACACATCTGCACAACCATGTAGGAAGGATATTCAGTGAATGCAGCCAAGACACACATTTCTGTCTGTTCTGCTGTGCACGTTTTGTGTGTATAGTCCTCCCCTCAAACATACACAAACCTTGAAATTTCATGCAGGCAGTATTGTCATTCCTGATTTCCATTTATAAATATATCAAACTAAATCAGATAACAGCCTGTTTGAACGCCAGGTGTTTGTAACTCATGATAAATCCTTCATTTTATGGAACATCTTCTACATAGGGTATCAGTAGGTGAATCCCAATTCCCTTGTTTTATCATTGGTCCTCGAGCCTCGCTCGACCCAGTCATTCCAGTCCAGAACTTTTATTCCTGCTCTGAGGACTGAGGAGCAATGAGACTACTTGGAGGACTTATAACTGAGGATACATGAGTACATCCTTTGCAGAAATCTGTTAGAGATCAATTTGGCCCTTTATTGAAGGAAAGGAGGTCTCACGGCAGTTGAAGTGTGCTTTCTCAGCCCTCTCCCCCTGCACTTTGTCTTTGCATCTTACATGGTTGGGCTAAGATCAAGGAAAAGACTCAATGTACAATATTTTTATTCTTTATTCCTTCCCTCCTATACCTGCTGCCTCCTTTCTTTCATCCCATTTCTTTTCTTCATCCTCTGCCCTCCATCCTTGACTTATATATTCCTTTATTTTTTCTTTACTTCCATCCTTCCTTGCTACTTTGTTTCCTTTCAACTTTTCTGCTTTTGTCTTCTGGTTCTTTTGTAATTTTCTTTGTCAGTTTTTTTTTTTTTTTCTCCACTTTTATACTTTTAAATGCACCAACATTTCTTCTCAGTGATCAGCGTCTTTTTGGCAGCATATCAGCTCTCCCAGTGCAATTTCTTCAGGAATTACTTTTTGTAGTTTTCATTGCTTTGCTCAGATAAAAGTTTTTTTTTTTTTTTTTTTTTTTGGAAAGCTTTAGAAATAGACTGTCAGAGTGGTGTGAGAACTAGCCACTGTTAATAGAGAAGAACCCAATTAAAAGGCCAGTATTGTAGGGTGTAAGAGTCTTTAATAAAAATAATAAATGAGCTGGAGAGAGGCGAGTGCTGGTAGTGGTGTTGCTCCGACAAGGCCCGGAGACAGTCAGCATGGAAAGAAAAACACTTCCTCCTCCACAAGCAGGACTCTTGGTTTAGTAGCAGAGAGTGTTCAGTAATCCAGAGAGGCAGAAACTGGGGCACACAGCATTACAAGGCAGGCCAGCAGAGAAGTCAAGATTTCAGTCCAACAGGTTAGAATTAAGTTCACGTTTCTTCAGGGGCAAGGCTGAGACGTAGTCGAGATTCAGTTCCAAGGGTCTGGGGGTACTCACAGTCTTGTGAGGGCAAGGTGTAATCAAGGTTCAAGCCAAAGGTCTGGTCTTGTTACAACAGCGCAATAGATCTCAGGTTTAGAAAGGCTGGAGAGTCAAACACACAGTCAGGAGAATCTGGTAACTTCTCTGAGGGATGAAACTGCTTATAAAAGGGCAAGCACAGGTGTAGTCAATCGGCACAGGTGAGGATGATTGGTGTAATGAAAGTAAAGTGACCAGGAGTGAGGGTAGGGTGGAACAGGACGTGTCAGGTAAAAATAAGAGCCAGTTACCGGAAGTGGAGCTGGAGTTCATGACATAGTCACCATGTTTATATTATGTTTTTCCTTTTCTATCTGATAACTTAATAATGTCTTTATGGTTTATTTAATTCATAAAATCTTTCTCTCTCTCTCTCTCTCTCTCTTAGCCATCCTGAACTTGGACAACACAGTAGTGGACCTGGAAACCCTGCAGGCCCTGTATGAAAATGTGAGCAACATGCACTTTCCACAGTCTTGCAGTCCTTCCTGCAGGGTTGTGAGGAAGTATGGAACATAATTGATCAGAAACAATCAGAAAACAATACTTAATTTCTCAATTCACACTCTACTGCGCTCTACCATTGCTTGCTCCCTCTCTTAAGCTGCATTTCCACTGCTAGAAACTAACAAGCAGTGCAGAGACTGTATGAGCAGTTTATGAAACAGCTGTTGAACAAGCAGAGCACAGAATCCATACTTAGAACTTAGTGGATTGGATTTAGGACAGGCAGAGAAATCCCCACCCCCACCCACACACACATACAGCCGCAGCTAAAATCGGGGGAGGAGGCTCAGCTTTTCTTACATACAAATACAGGGGGCTTCAAGGAAAAAAGGTTGGGAGTGGTTTGCTATAGTGAATTGTGTGTTAGGACAGAGCTGGACATTGTCTTGTGTGTTTCTGACAGAGGGCACAGCAGGAGGAGCTGGACAAGATTGAAAAGCACATCAAGTCCACGAAAGACAAAGAGAATGCTAAACTTCTGGACAAACCTGAGCAGTGAGTTTTTCATCTGACATGTAAAAACTAATAAGCAAACATACTGAAAAATCTGTCTCTGTAAAGAGTGTAAAGAAAGAGTCAGCACAGAGATGACAGGAGATGTAAGTTAAAGTGGCCTGTGTTTATCATTTGTTGCAGGTTTCTCTATCAGCTCTCTTTGATCCCTAACTTCTCTAGCCGAGTCTTTTGCATCCTCTTCCAGTCCAGCTTCTGTGAGTGCATATCATCCATAACAAGGAAACTGGACACACTGCACCGGGCATGCAATGTGAGTCAATATTTATGACCATTTAAAGTATGTCTTTTTTCCCTGTTGTGTTTCCTTTGTTTTCTAACCTCACTTTCTCTACACTTTGTTTAAAGAAACAAACTTTCATTTCCTCTGCAGGTGTTGCAGGACAGTCAGACAGTGAAGCGGGTTTTGGGTCTGGTTCTGGCCTTTGGTAACTTCATGAATGGCAGTAATCGAACCAGAGGCCAAGCTGATGGCTTCAGCCTCGACATCCTGCCAAAACTCAAAGATGTCAAGAGCAGCGTGAGTAATGAGGGAAAGATTTTGAAATGAACTAAAATGAAAGATATTCAAATTATGTTCTTCCACCTGGAACCTCATTTTACAGCCTTTCATGGTTTGTGCTATGTAAATATGATGTGTTAACATCTGATTATAGTTTTTGTAGAGACTGTCCTCCTGTTAAAAAAAGATTTCTGTGCAATAGCCTATTACAAACCAGAGTTACATTTTATAGTTGCCACATCTTGCTGCTGTGTGATACAACATCAGTCTTTTCAGCAACTGCCCCAAACCCATGATTGCATTCGTGGGCCTGTAGCTGTACCTGGTAAATATGATGGGAGCAAAGGAAGAAATCAGATAATGTTGTTACAGAGCAACAAAGTATGCATATGGTACAGAACAGTGTAATGTTTTTGTATTTCCTTGACATGTGGAACAATTTTCAACTGTGAAAGTAACAGCCTTTCCAATGCTAGGTCAGAAAAACACATCTCCTGCTTTTAGCTTGCTCATTTTAATGCCAATGTGCCTAGAGTGGATGCCTCCAACATGTTGTTCCTGAGAGCCCAGGGCAGTACAGTTTTGTCTCCTTTGAACAATATGCCATTATACTGTGTGGTCTCTGAAGTTCCAGTAGTGTAGGATGGCGGGAGGACATTTCTTCCTCTACTCTCACCATCCTGACTGCACTGTTTGCTTTAGCAGGGTGAGTTGGACGTCTTTTACTATTTTAATGTTAGTAACCTTTCTGCTCATTGGTGCCGTAGTCCTGTCATAGCCCTGCAGCAGCATTAGGGACAGTCTGTCTGTTACACAGATGTCTTTCCCAGGACAATGCTGAATCTCAAAGTTGTATTGCTGCAGTCATTGAATCATTTGTTGCAAGCATGCTGGGGCAATGGAGATCAGTTCTTTCAATACAGACTCTAGGATGATTTTCCTACATAAAAGAATGGAAACGCAGAAACATTACGCCAAAAAGCTTTTTTAGCTGGATATAGTTTTATCTCAGTTGGTTTAGATACTTTTGAGGTGTTGAGCTGGGTGTTGTCACAAGTAAACTCCTGTTTTTCCTGCCAGGACAATTTCTACTTCACTTCAATTGCAGTTCTAATGCAGTTTCCCTTGGTTGCACATCTACTTTGTGCATTGGTGTGTTTGGTATTTTTCTGCCATTTATGTGGCGGTGAGAGGAGAGACGCAGCTGAGGGCATGTGTATGCAGATTGGGCAGTGCAATGCAATTAATTAGATAATAACACCTACTCACACCACCTCATCACTGTCACAGGTGTATTTCCAGTTTTCCTGACAGTATATAAGATGGGAAGCATGAGAACAGGCACAAAAATGCATTTTAACAGCTAAACCAACATAATTCTACACCTGGTCTGCAATAATTCACTGAATTTGTGAAATTATTTCTATTATTAAATGGATGATAATTTAAAAGATTCATTTTAAATAAGATAAACTAGTCCTCGGCATGTGGCTATAGACATGAATAAGGTCAAACAGTGCTGGAGGACGTCAGAATGCACTGTCCTTCCATACAGGATGCAGTCAGAGGTGATCGGCAGTACAGTGTTTTATGAATCCAAATCAATATAAAAAATACACATAGGTGCACAAAATAACACATGAAAGCAGCTCATGAGCCAAGATAAATAAATACCCTGCTGAAATACTGACCAATGATGCTAGGCTGTAGGTAAAGTCAGTCTTACCTCACTGTATGCTGCTGTCACTGGTTAGTGAGTTTCTTCAAACAGGTTTTACAAAGACTTGATGTCTGTTTTTGCATGACATTTAATCAGCTCTGAAAGCAGCTGTAGGTGGAGATAAAAGTGGGCAATGCCCACTGGCTATAGCGGACTGCAGTGAGTTTCACCATAAACTCACTCACTACAATATCATTGTATTATTTTAAAAACAGTGAAATGTTTATGAAGTTACATTCAAATAAGCCAGAGATCCCCATGCAGTCTGCACAGTGGATGCAGCTGTAACTTACACTATATAATTGCTGCTGCTTGCAGGACCAGAGACTTTTTCTTCAATGCGGTCAGACTATTGAGTGTGTTAGATATCAGGTTTGTAAGGCCCAAAAAATATGACACTGAAGCCTGGATAACAGTATAAAGGTTTTAATGTGTGAAGTAGCAACAATATGTTGCTCAGGTGGAATCTCTGCAGTGCTGCTGGAATGGAGGTGAGTGAAAACAGGTTGGTCTGCTTCTGTCAACTGTGTAATCTGATGGTTGGACACATAACAGGGGAGACCTTTTGGCTGGCTGGCTGGCTGGCTGGCTGAAACAGTGCAGAGGGCGGGTCTGATGGCCAGGTTGGTGAAGTGCCTTAACCATACAGGACCGCTTGAGGCAGGACTGTTAGATAGCAGGAACAGAGAGAATGCAACAAGAAATGCACAGGTGAGTAAGCAGCTTCTTTTCACAGATGGGCAAGATGGCAGTGAGCCCAGGATATTGCAGATACCAGACATAATCACCAGAGGAGTAGCAGAGGTGAGTACACAGGTCTGAGTGTAGGGATTCTTTACAGGTTGACGGGCTGGATGTAAAAAGCACTGAGAGCTTAACAGGTGACCTGGCAGGAGGTAAGTAATGCTCCAGGTTATACAGCTGACCACAGGACACTGGGTAGGTGAATACACACCCTTTGCAGGGAGAAAATAAACAAAAGTGAGGAAATAATACAGGGCCATTTCTAAGTGAATTCAAAGTGAGAGGAGATGAGGCCAACACAAAAACACTGGGCCATTGACGTCACACTGACAGAACTTCTAGGTTAGCATAAATGGAAAATGACTCGGGCCAAGTATAACAAAAACGTATGCAGGTGTACCAAAGAGTTCAAAAAGAGATTTCTCCCCCTAGCAAAAATGAAAACTGAGCTCTGTAAAAAAATAAAACAAACAAAAAAACAAGACAGGACAGAGGCACGGACAGTTCAAAAACAATTTCCTAGACAATGTGTGGTCAAAACCATAAAGTGACTGAACAGCAAGGATGTAGGTGAGCAGATAGTCAACAGATAGGATGTACTGTGTCTTCAGGTAACAGAGACAGGAGATGGCTGGAAAGCACTACTGTCTGCAAGTGACTTTCTGGCACTGAGAGATGAGAGCAGACAGGTTAAATAGGCAATGGTGATGAGGCACAGATGCAACCAATGCAGCGAATCAGTAGCAGCCAGATATGAAATGGGGTGAAATAATGCCCCGCTCCAAACCCCAAAACAGTGTCTATAGTGAATATTTATGTGCAATACTTCTGCAATAAATAGTTTTCATTTCTTAGCTGTGTATCTGGGTCATGCATTTGGCTTTAATATTGTTTACTAACTTGACAGAAAAACTGTTCATGAGTCACTAGTCACAAGTCCGAGTCAAGTCTGAAGTCACTTATGTACAAGTTGAGTCAAAAGTCTGTTAATGTGGGTATCAAGTACAAGTCCCCAGCTTAAGTGCCCATCCCTGGCTCACAGCACATGATTTATTTAGCATAACAGGGTGAACACAAGTTTTTAAATGTTTATAACTGCATGAATAACCCTAAAATAGAACATTGGTGTGACATCTCACCATGTCATCTGTTATTCAGTTACTGTTTGAAAATTGTTGTAGAGCAGATATTGATAACAACAATTTGATTTTAAAATCCTAGGATTTGCATTTTGTGCACAATAGGAGACTTCAGGAATACATTTAAAAGACGTACAAAGAGGAGTAAGTAGTTTTGCCCTTTGAAACAGTGTTGTGCACGGAGCCAGAGTGGTCGCTATAATCTTGCAGCAGAGGCTGAATTGAAACAAAATGAGCTGCAGACTGTGGGTGAATTGAGCCAACAAGGATGAAACTGCAATTGTCCATTTTATTTATTTTAAACATTGAATTTGCTTTTTCTGTTAGCCCATGGCCTTTGGCCAGAGATGCTATTTAAATTTTGTTACTGGAAATGAAACTTGTAAATCATGAGAAATACCTGTAAGGAAGATCATATTCCTGAAACTGACTTCTCTGCTCTTGTAAACTTACGTTTCTTTCTTTTCTCTGCACATGAACTGTAGGACAGCACAAAAAGTCTTCTGTCTTACATTGTTGCGTACTACCTCAGACACTTTGATGAGGTAAGTTGTTTTCCTGTCAGATTTCCTCACATACTGTTACTCATTTACATTTTTCCTTTTTGGTGCTTTACTTTTCTCCCTCCCTGATGTATCCATCCGCTCTGTTTATTATACATATATAACAGGTGTTCTCTCTGTGTGTAATTTCTTCTTCATTACTATATTTTCACATTACTCTGGTATTGCATCACAATGCTGTAATGCTCTAACACTTCATATTTATTTGCCTGGCAGCCAGAAAACTGAACAGTGATGCATGTGATGATCTTAAAACAATGTCAGATGTTTATTAACTGTCCTAATTACTAATGTTAAAATATATACCTACTGTTGAAGTAAAAGGCTTGCATACACTTAGGCTGAAGTCCTTAAAACTGTTTTGTTAACCACTCCATGGATGTCATGTTAACAAACTCTCATTTTGGCAAGTCAGTTAGGACATGTACTTTATGTATGACAACAATAAACAGGTGTTTCCCGATGGATTATTTCAGTTATAATTCACTATATCACAATTCCAGTGGGTCAGAAATTTACATACACTCAGTTGACTGTGCCTTTAAACAGCCTGGAAAATTCCAGAAACGTTTGACCCAAGTTCAACAATTTAAAGGCAAAGCTACTAAATACTGAGTGCATGTAAACTTCTGACTCACTGGGAATGAAATAAATCATTTTCATTCTTTTTCTCTACTGTTATTCTGACATTTCACATTCTTAAAATATAGTAATGATCCTAACAGACCTAAGACAGGGAATCTTTATAGGATTAAATGTCAGGAGTTGTGAAAAACTGAGTTTAAATGTATTTGGCTGAGGTGTATGTAAACTTCTGACTTCAGCTGTGTATGTGTGTGTTTGCATTTTCCTGTTATTACTCACATTGTGAGGACCAAAACCTGCATACACACTCACATGGGGGACCAGAGGCTGGGATCCACCATGGAAATCATAGAATTTTAAGGTGATGAATTAGTTTAAGGATAGGGTAAGATTAGAGGAAGGGCTAGGGTTTGACAAGTAGAGGCTATGGGTAGGGTAAGTTTCCAAGAAATGACTATATGTCAGTCTATAGTTTCCACAAGGAATAAAAACAAACATGTATGTCTGCGTGCGTGCCTCACATTGCTCATATTATGGGGACTGAAACCAGTTTACACACTTGCAGTGTGGTGACTCTGGACCCTGCCATGTGAATCACTGAATTTTAGAATGACAAGTTGTTTTAAGGTTCGGTTTAGGTCAGGTGAGGGTTAGGGGGTAAATGTTAGGCAGGTAGTGGTTATGGTAATGGAATGGAGCCAAGAAATAAATGTACATCCGTGTAAGGATTAATTTAAAGTCCCCATGAGGAATAGAAACGTGTGTGTGTTTCTCTGTCACCAGGATGCTGGCAGGGACACATGTGTCTATCCTCTCCCTGAACCGCATGACTTGTTCCAGGCTTCACAGATGAAATTTGAAGACTTTCAGAAAGAGCTGATTCGACTCAGGAAGGACCTCAGAGGTAACATATGTGACAAACACATATACATTTGATAAATACTCTCTCATATCATCAAATGGCTTCTGAACGTAAATTGCTATTTTTCAAATTTCAAGCAATGATTTTGCATTTAGGTTCTTGCAGGCACAAGACTTTGTGCAAATTGCAGACACTCATAACTATACACTAGTTATGTTGTATTTTCAAGTTATAATTGTTGGTGTGACTCGCTTTTTTCTTTGTTGTTTTGTCAGCTTGTATATCAGAAGTGGAAAAGGTGTGCAAGGTTTCAGAGGAGGATGACTTGCAGCCTTTCAAAGACAAGATGGAGGACTTTCTCACACAAGGTTACTGAAAAAAACTATTAATGCATCAAGACACACACAGTGGGTGCATCCCAAGTCTCTTATATGATCATTCCTACGTCCTAAGTCCTCCTCAGTTGACTCGGAAGTCATTCCGGTCAACCCACAGTGTTCTGAGTCCCTTATATAGACTCTGAGAGCGGAGGAGCAAGGAGCCAGGAGGCTGCTGGAGGAGCCATGAGTGAGAATACACAAGACCATCCTTCACAGAAGTTTTTTTATGAACCAAAATCCCTCTTTATCAGAAATCAGTTGGTGATTCTATGCTTCAGATGCAGGATAGGAGGAAAGAATGTCTCCTGTTGTTAATGTGTTTTCTTAGGTCCTCTCTTCTTGCATGTTTTCCTGGCATTTTTTTCCTCACATCTTACGTGAGCACAAGGAAAAGATGCAAATCTGGGAAACAGTGGTTCTTATAAGAGACTTGTGAAGCAGCCAGTGATTGAGCTTTTCTGCTAATTTGTCCCAGTGGCCAGTGTCATGGTTTGCCATAGAGAAAAAGCAGATACAAAAGTCAAAGCATGTGCAAAAAGAAAAACACTAGACAAGGGATTTTCTACACTGGAAGTGCTCTGGGATGCAAAGGGGGCGGTGAGCTTGATTTTGATAGGTGGCAACAATGTTAGCTTGCAATAATGCAACTGCTGACAACAAACTTTATCATTTATCAAAAAGAGTACTTTGTCATGTTCAAGTTTTTTGTTTTGAGCATTTGTATTTATTCTTCCTTTTGTAGCTAAAAGTGAACTGGAGAAACTGGAAGCTCAACTCAGCAGCACTCATAAACTGTAAGAACAACCTCCTTTTTCTGTTTCTTTCAGTTGTCTAAATCTCACTAAAGTGGTCTGTCTGTATCAGTGAATACCAAGAAGAGCTTTACATATCAAATGAGTAATAGTGGATTTTTTAATACCGGCTAAGCCTGTCCAGATATTTTAGTTCTTCAGCCAAAACCAGAGTTGTGGATTAGAAAATCTGAATTCAATCAATCGAGATAAATGCACACTCTTGTGGTCATTGACTAGACTGTATATCGACAGTCAAAAACCATGACGATCTGGTTTCTCATTGGCTACATGCATGGCTACTGCACTATATTCAGAGCAAGTACAAACAATGACAACCTGGGATTAGGTGAAAGTAAAGTAGAAGAATATTCTGCTAACTGGTGTTACTATTATGTATCACTCTTAGTCCTCCTAACATTATTATTACAGTTTTCCTCTAATGCATTGCCTCAATATTAAAAATGATAGTTTTCAAAACCTGTTTGACACTGTCCACAACATTTAGTTGTCCACACAGATATGGATGCCGTTAAGGAAAGTACAATTTACCCTATGTCTCTCCAGACTATGAACATCATCCTTAGGCCCCCTCATCAAAGCCCTACCCTCCACTACAAAACAGTGACAGAACACTGCAACTGAAAGCCACTGACAACTTCAAAAGTTTGTCAGTAAAAAACACACCAGAATTAAAAGAATATAAATTGAAAATGAGATCATTAGATTTATTTTTCAGTTCCGCTTTTTTTCAGAACATTTCAATGAGAGTATAACAATATATTCAAAACAAGTGCTTCCATGTGTTGTACCCGGTACTTTTTACCATACGGACTCTGAGAGACGAGCCAGTCCAAGTAACTTCAAAACATTGCTGATTTATTCAAAGGATCACAGGTAAAATTAACATTACACACTCAGGTATCTTGCACCTCCAAACTGCTCGCAGGCAGATGTAAGATGAAAGACCCTGAACCCACCAGGCCTATACATTATATCCCCTCGGTTGGGCTAGCCCCATACTACACAGAAACGTCAACCGAGACGTCTCTGTTACCAGCTTTGCAGCTGGTCATAGCAGTAGTCAAAACATGAAGCAAATCAATGTGTATGTGTCTGTTGATTAAGTGGTGTGTAACTAAAAACATTCTCACGACCTCTAGTACATGTCGTGACTTAAACATAAGAACATATTATGGCTAAGGCTACAGTTATACACGTCATAATAATAATATTAAACACCCTGTCTGCTGACAGTCATCAACTCTTCTCTCTAGTTATCCTTGACCAGATGTACCCTGTAGAAACTCATAAGCATGCCTAAGCATTTAACAGTCTAACTAGACATCCTATCTCCACTAAACATTTCTAATACATAAAGTACCTAACCAATATCTATCGGACTAAAAATACCTAACACATGCCAGGGTTATCTTTTTCAATTCAGGGTTTTTTTTATGCCAAGTTTTTATTTTCACTCACATTGAAAACTCCTGGCTCCATAACTAAGCAGCTGTAGAGATACAAAGTCATATTTTTGGCCACATTTATTTTGAGTGACAGGTCAGGCTGAAGCCCTGCATGTAAAACCTCTCATTCATTTCAATGGGACCACTCTGGTGGTGCAGTGTGGATGAAAACACTGACATGATACTCTATCTGGCAAGGTGCTGCACTGGTTAATACATGGCATGGATTACTTTGTATTTTTATTATTTACCTATGCTTATTGTAACACAAGAATAAATCAATTCTGCCTGACAACTTTCTGAAGTTGTAAAATCTTGTCTGTAAGTGTTATAAACTCTTGTCAGTGCTTTGGCATGTGCTTGCACTTTTTTACATTTACATAAATGCATTAATGTTAACAGGGGGATTTATAACAATGTCAAAACACTTTCACTTACAAAATAGAAACATGTTCACACACATATAATACAAAATATCAGCCTGAGTTTGAAAAAAATGACTGAGGTCCAGATCTCAGGTATCTCATAGCTGGCTACAGGGCTGGCTGGAGGTATCCTGTCCTGTTCTCAAATTAAGCAGAGTTTGGTCGATTCCCTTGGCTGTATATTATGTTACACATGGCATGTCAATAAGTAAACTTGATTTTATAATCTTTCAGGTTCCTTGAGCTCACAGTGTTCTTCGCAGTAAAGGCCAAGGGAGGAGAGAAAGAGGTTTCACCAAACACTTTCTTCTGTGTCTGGCATGAGTTCTCCTCAGACTTCAAGGACCAGTGGAAGAAGGAGAACAAAATAATCCTCAAGGAGAGGTACCTGCTAGAATAACATATCTTTCATTATTTCTCTTAATAGAAATTCAGAATATTGGGATAAGCTCTACATTTAAATAAGCTAAAGTGCCTTCAATGCAAAATTACTAGCAGTTAAATGTAGTATGTTATAATGTTAATTTGGCAAAACTACAGTGAAAAAGGACACTTGAATATGTGTTTTCATAACATTGTGTTGTGCAGGTTAAAAGCAGCAGAAGAGTGTTTCCGTCAGGCCAAGGAGAAGGCTTCCTACAGTGTCAAACCTAAACATGCCTCTGGCATCGTAAGTTAATCTTTGTTTTCTGTGTTTGCGGTTTTAGCAACACGAAGGTCAGAAGATCAGTCTGGTAATTTATAGAATGAAGAACAAAAACTTTAACAATTATTAAAAGCTTTATTTTGGAGTCCTAGCCAATCTAACCAAACCTATCTAATCGCGTATAGGCAACAATTTCTCATTAGTACATTATGTTTTATGGGGAAGCATAAAATGGTTATATTCCACTTTTTCCACCATACAATATCAGGGGAATATTTATATTAAACATATCTGAAGATAATTTACCATATTCTTCAAAGATATTCCATCTTTGCTGTTTGTAAAATGTAAATGAGTCAAAATCCTGCAGCAGTGGTGGAATATTACTAAATACATTTACTCAACTACTGTACTTAAATACAGTTTGGATATATTTTACTTGAGGGTGCTGCATTTCATAGGGAATTACTGTAGTACTGAATAATTATTGCATTCAAAATACACCCATCCATTAGCTATAGAGGGTCGCAGGGAGGCTGGAATCAACACAGCTGACAATGGGCAAGAAACAGCCTGGAGGGGTCATCAGTCTGTTACAGGAGGCAAAACAGTATTTGTTGTGTGTTTGTAGTGACCAAATAAATCACATAAGAAGACTCGCAGTAGTCTGGACTAGAAGACTACAGCCTCTACCTTGTTTACTCAATAGCAAGTGTGACATCATATCTGGGGCCTTACTACATTATATTCAGAATATTACAACAACATATTCAAAGTACACCAGAGACTATATAATGCAGTAATGTTAAATGAACATGCTCTTATCCTTCCTTATTTAAAACAGTCCATAACACAGTCATACGGCAGTAATCCTCTGTCATGTTTGTGCTTTGCTTCAGTCTTTTGGAAATCCATGACCTCAGCATTGGACTGGCTGGTATTGACCTTTTTATTAACTGGGTCCAGCTTGGCCTGTTTAGCTTCTGTTTTCTGACTAGCTTCGCCCTGCTGTGACTTGAAATACCGTAGCAAATTGACCTGTTTTTTACATTTTCTCTTCATGGATAACATAACGTTACGCTGAATGTGCTCCTGACCCAGTGTCACCTGCGCGGGCTGATTGTATTGTGACATAATTAGTCTAACTGCCTGCTTTTATTGTATTTACTCAAATTTTAGTCTAATAAGCTGTTGTAGAAAATGTACTAAATTTTGAATTTTTTATATATTATTCATACAACCCCAATTAAAAAAAGTTGGGACAGTATGTAAAATCAAAATTAAATATGAAAACAGTGATTTGTAAATAATCTGTGTCCTGTTTTACAAACAACACAGCAGCACATTATTTGATGTGATACCTCATCAATTTTATTCTTTGTTAAAAATAAACACTCACTTCAATTCTGGTGCCTGCAATACATTCCAAAATAAGTTGGGATGTTGTATTTCAGGGCCAGTAAAACAATGAAATGATGATTCCATCTTCAGGTAACTGAGTATTTTGACATTGTGTGCACTGGCAGCATGGTGACGCGATGATTAACATTGTTGCTTCACAGCAAAAAAGGTTCCGGGTTCAAGCTCAGCCCGACACAGGGCCTTTCTGTGCGGGCTTTGCATGTTCTCCCTGTGCCTGCGTGGGTTCTCTCCGGGTACTCCGGGTTCCTCCCACACTCCAAAGACATGCAACTTAAGTTGACTGGTGACTCTAAATTGCCTGTATGATTGAGTGTGAGTGTGTGTGGTTGTTTATCTACAGTACATGTCAGCCCTGTGATAGACTGGTGACCTGTCCAGGGTGGACCACGCCTCTCACCCAATGTTAGCAGGGATTGGGTTCAGGATAAGCGGTGTAGATAACAATGACAATGCCCTTATCTATAGGGTGCAAGAGGTCATTTAATGGTTTGATAGGTATGAATCACATGGTATTGCCTTCTTAGTCACCAGTTCTCAACCCAGTTTAACCCGTATGGGAGATTTTGGACTGATGTGTTAGATAGCTCTCTCCACAACCATCATCATTACACCAAAAGAAGGAAAATCTTTTAGAAAAATGGTGTCTCTCCAGAGACTTGTAAAATCAATACCAAGATATATTAAAGCTGTTCTGGCAGCATATGGTGGCCCAACACTTTCTAAAACTGTGTACTGTGTGTCAGATTTTCCATTGTCACCCATCCTTTGACCAAACATTAGTTAGCCTAAATGTTCATTCAGTTTTGTGGCATTTCATGGACATGTCTTATGCACTTAACTTCTATTATGTGTCCTTCCCACAGAAAGCAAAGCTTGGCATGAAGATCTGACCCGATGGTCTTGGCATGCATGTTTTTCCACTTGTGGGCAACCACGGTGAGTCAAAGAAAAAAGTATGAAGAGGACAAAGAGAAAAATGAAGAGACAGTACAAATGTGAATGGCATATACTGTATGTGCAGCGGAGCCTAATGAAGACATGTTGTTTCATTTATTTTTGTCCAGTCTGATTAGTTTTGCCGGCTCTGTCAACCTGTTGCTGTCCTCTCCAGCTGCCTGATAACTGAATCTGACACAATCATGGAACACTGCTACTGGGCCACCTGACACCTAAAATCATGTGTTGCTGGTATTATCACAACTCAAGACACATTACATACATGACACATCAGCTGGAATAACATCATATCTTCTCTGCAGCCTAATATTTATGGAGTTATAAAAATCACACTATCTGAGATTTTTCAGCATATTGGTAAATTCAAAAAATAATTCCTGTGTTTGAGGATCAATAAATATATTGAATATTTAATTCCCTGACTGTAATCTCCAAAAAACTTAACAAGCTTGTCTGTACAATCACACATTATCAATGACTGGGGGAAGCAACACCCAGGCAGTGTCAGTCATAGAATAACTGGTGTATAGAGTATGCTTATTGCACAAAGTCATTGTCACATGCTGTCTTTCACATTAAATGAACAGAATGCTACCAACAGTGAAAAGTAATGTAGGAACAGATTTCATCACAACCCATGCCATCAAAAGTGCCAGCATTTGATAAATTTCAAACATTTAAGCACTCAGATCCACTAAGTGTGAACACTTGCTTGCTGTAAGTTGCTCTGAACATAGTTTGGGATCCCTGCAATGGAGATCACTGCACGAGATTCAGGTGGAAGTAAGGCCACAAGACAAAATTCAATTTAAACATGACCAGTATTCATCTCTTGTAACAAATTTGATTTGGGAAGCAAAAATGTAAATTCATATGTTTCATTTAATCACTTTTCTGTTTAGTCGGGACAACTGCATTGATATGTTTGTGACTAAATTTTGGCACAGGCTGCACCACTAATGTGATCATTTGCATAAAGCACTTTATGTTCAACCTCATAATTCCCTAAACTGTGAGGTAGCAATAATTTCTTGGTGAAAGAAATATTCAGAATGGGTCTAATTATTTCCACTAAACAAGTTTTTCCACCATTTAAAACTCTTTAAAATTAGTTTGTAAAGCAGTGGTTATTCACTCATTATTTTTATTTTGTTCTAAATCTGTTCATGTATGAACTTTTGCTGTTTATGCCATAATGTCCTCTCCTAAAATATGCTGCCTAACTTTTTTAAGTGTGGTTTTTCAATATAAACAGCCATAACCATTGAATCCATTGTGCAATTGCAACCAAATTAGCACAACAGTAGCATAAATTAAAATGGCCATGACGTGGCTATCACAAATCTAACTAACGATCAGCTTTGATGAGTAAATCAAAGTGCTCCCTTTTTTCTTGGATCTGGACCTGACAGCATGAAACATTTCCAGCAAATATACCGACTGACATGGATTTTCATACATTAACGCAACAATGTTTGTGATTTTACATGCTGACTATCCAAAATAATCAAACTCAGTTAACAATTTTACAACAGTGTTGATAGGTAGGGGAGGATGTCACTGTAAATGTACATGTAAAATTTTCAATGTATGTTCAGTAATATGCCATATCATTCCAGAAATACTACAGGCAACATATGTGTCTAATCATGTTGTTCACATCTATGTAATTAATAACTGCAAGATGAAGGATGTGTATAGTGCACTGAATTACAGTTATTGAGTTTTGTTGCAGAAATAATGATCCTATCAGTGTAAAGTAATACATTATTAAAAATGACAGTGACATGTTTTGTGTTTCTTTCAGTGATGTCCTCTTTTGTCTCAAATTCTATCCATGGTGGCGTATACAAACAGCACATATCTAAATATATCTAAAGATGACAATTCAGTCTTTAGTTTGTTTAATTAAATAATCAAACCAGTGTATTTGGGATTGTTAGCATAATGCAAATTGACAATGATGAGTAATGGATTTATAAACTACTTTATGTATCTACTGTTTCATATTCACAGTATTAGAAAGTAAGTAGTTACATGTAACAAGATACTGTAATTACAAAATGTAATTGTAATCCATTATGGCTACAATGACATATATGTACAATAAGAATAAAAAAAAAATATTTTGGAGAATATTCAAAATGGCTGTAAAATGTTTATGATCTACATCAGTCTCTTCAGCATCATCCACTGAATCCATAGACAATAGAACCTTTCTGCTGCACCTCATGGTTGCTGAGATGTATGCAAAAGAGTCATAGGGCTTCATTTATGGTAATATCTCACCACATGGTAGTACTATTGTAAATATTTTTGAGAATGTGAAGTAGACAATAAGTAATATTCTAAATCAAGTGCAGGTACAGTGGGTATAGAAAAAAATCACCCCCTTTCAAAACATTTGCATTTTATTAGCTTTATTTTCGACATACAGGTAATAGAAAAAATATCCACAGTTCTGAATTTTTTTTATTAGCACTGGTGGACTGCAGTCTTTAGGTCATTCCATAGATTTTCAATAGGGCTCAAGTCTGGGCTCTGACATCAGCAACTCTGTGGTCAATTTTGCTGTGTGCTTTGGGTCATTGTCGTGTTGAAAGGTGAACCTTCTTCTCATCTTCAGCTTTCTGGCAGAGGGCTGCAGGTTTTTCTCAAGAATTTGATGGTACTTTGCCCCATTCATTTTCCCATTTATCCTGACAAGTGTCAGTCTTTGCTTAAGAGAAACACCCCCGTAACAGGATGCTATCATCTCCACAAGCACAAAAACCAACAATGGCAGACATCAGCGTCTCCCTATGGTGTCTCCTTTGTAGTGTTGCTCCTGGCTTTGCGGGGATACATTGAAATCTAAACACTACTGGTTCAGTGTATGCTCACTGTGATTTCTATGGACAGTGGTTATATTTGAGAAGAATGGTAATGTTAGCCTTTGTTAACTTGTCTCCTCCACAGTCACTTGCTGCTTCTTGAATGTCTGCTGCATGAATGAATTGCATGAATGACATTGTGCTATGTGAACTTCCTTTGATAAGCCCACTATTCCACTGCCATACTGCTGCTACTGAAACTGAAACAACTACTGGTAAAGCTGAAAAAACTTAGAAGAAGGCATCTTGACATAATATTAGGTAGAAGACGTTTCACCTCTCATCCCAGAGGCTTTATCAGTTCTGTTTGACTGGTGGTGAGCGGGAGGTATTTATCCCACTGGGTGGTGATTCAGTCCTTCGATGGCCAATAATGTCCTCTAACAACTGAGTCATTGCAGTTCCAGTCCTTTGGTGGCCCACAATGTCCTTTAACGACTGAGTCATTAGGGTCCGGTATCAGTGAGCACTGTTACCTTCTTTGACCCCTCACATGTGGACCGATACCTATTGTCCTGGTATGAATTAGGGTGGAAATGTTTGGGTAGAGATTTCAAAATAAAGTTGTAGATGATGACAAGTTGTGTCTGAGTCCACCACCCCTATTTAGAGAGGGACATGTTTTTATGGCATAAAAGTCTGGCCCTGTATTGCACATTTCTTCGAATTCTTCTGCATTTCACACTAATATAATTTGATTGTCAAGCAGTACCAGTTTAATTTGTCAAATTGGAACTTTCACAAGTTAATCTATCAGTCGATCTGTTAAAATCTCCTAAAACAATGAGTGGGGAGTTGGGATGTTTTCAGTTCAACACCAGTTATCAGGTTGTCCAGGTGCTGTAGTGTGCTCGCATCGACCATTTGTAACTCTAGATGACATGGCTCTGGCCTCCAGTACTGCTCTAAGGAACCTTGGAGTCATCTTTGATCGGAATATGTCATTTAAATCACACATAAACCAAGTCTCTAGATCTGCCTTCTTTCACCTGCTCAGTATCGCCAAAATCAGGAGCATCCTGTCTCAAAGTGATGCTGAAAAACTGGACCATGCATTTGTTACTTCCAGGCTGGACTACTGTAACTCTTTACTATCAGGATGTCCCAATAATTCCCTAAAAAGCCTCAAGTTAATTCAAAATGCTGCAGCCAGAGTACTGACAGGAACTAACAAGAGAGATCATATCTCTCCCATATTAGCTTCTCTCCACTGGCTCCCTGTGGCTCCCTCTTCGGTTTTGTAATGGAAACAAATTCCTTGTGTGTAACATACTTGGCGAATAAAGGTGATTATCCTTATCCTTATCCTGTAAAATCCAGAATAGAATTTAAAATCCTTCTCCTAACATACAAAGCCCTTAATGACAAGGCTCCATCATATCTTAAAGACCTCGTAGAGCCTTATCATCCCAACAGAGCACTTCGCTCTCAGAGTGCAGGTTTACTTGTGGTTCCTAGAGTCCACAGAAGCAGAATGGGAGGCAGAGCCTTTAGCTATCAAGCTCTTCTCCCATGGAACCAGCTCCCAGTCTCAGTTTGGGATTCAGATGCTTAGGCCTGCATATGAGTTGCTGCAGGGTACATCTGGTCAAGGCTACCAGAAAGAAGAGTTGATGACTGTCAGCAGACAGGGTGTTTAATATTATTATTATGATGATGTGTAAAACTGTAGACTTAGCCATAATGTTCCTATGTTCGAGTCACGACATGTA